CCAGCTCAGGGGGAACTGAACGATGGGAAACACAATCTTGCAGGGAACTAGAGAGTGCAGTTCCTCAGGGAGTGCAACACAGGAGAGTTATCAACACCTCAGCCTTTCCATTGCTACGTAGGCATGTGAGCTAGACTGATGGGAATATGTCACAGCAAGATCATTCATAACACTCAAACACAGCTGGTCTGAACACTCATTGACTGGTGAGTGGAAGAACTAAAGGTTCTGTGGGAGTTTGAATGAAACTGGCTCCCATAGGCTCATAGCAAGTGGCACTATTAGGAAGTGTGTCTCTGTTGGAGTAGGTGTGGCCTTGTTGGAAGAAGTGGGTCACTAGGAGTAGGCTTTGAGGCTTCAAATGCTCAAATCAGGCCCAGTGTTTCCCTCTCTCTTCCTGTTGCCTGCTGATCCAGGCGTAGAACGCTCAGCTACCTCTCCAGCATCATGTGTGTCTGGGTGCTGTCTTGCTTCTGTTATACGGACAATGGACTAAACGTCTGAACCTGTAAGCCAACCCCAATTAAAAGCTTTCCTTTATAAGAATGGTTGTGGTCATGGTGTCTCTTCACAGCAAACCCCAAGACAGGTGCTGTACCAGAGAGTGGAATATTATTTGGCCTGGAAAATGAGTGAAGCTCTGATTTGCTGTAGAGTTTGCTGAACCTTAAGGTATTATCATCCATGAATAAAAGTCAGCACAAAGTGCCCTGTGTTTTCTGATTCCTTTAATGAGATCTGTCCTGAGCAATTGCACCCACAGGGATAGGAAGTAGAGTAGTGGTTTCCAGAGTTCAGGGAGGTAGGGACTAGAAGAAAAGCACACAGCTTTCTTCTCAGGGTACCAAAAATATTCTGGAAGTAGAGAATGCTGATGGGTTCAGATTTTTTTTTGCATTGTTAAACTACAAATTGATACTCTTTAAAAGAGGGACATTATGGGGTTGGAGAAATGTCTAGTGGTTAAGAGTACTGCTGTCCCAGAGGACCCACATCAGTCAGCTCACAACCACCTATAACTCTGGTTCCAGAGGACCTGACACCTCCTTCTGCCTTCCATGAGCATAGCCATGCCCGTGGTGCCCAATACCTATGTGCAGGAACTCACACACACTCATAAAATAAAAAGAAAAAAAATCTTTTTTCTCTTCTTTATTGACTCTTTGGGACTTTCACATCCCTAGACTTTCACATGTCTAGAAAGGTAAACATCCAAACTGGCTAGGCTCCCACAAAGCCAGAACATGAAGTAGGATCAAAACCCCGTGCCATTGTCCTTGGCTTCTCATCAGCCCTCATTGTTCGCCATGTTCAGAGAGTCCGGTTTTATCCCATGCTTTTTCAGTCCCAGTCCAGCTGGCCTTGGTGAGCTCCCAATAGATCAGCCCCACCGTCTCAGTGGGTGGGTGCACCCC